CCTATGAAATCACAGGCTGTTTGATGAAACTATCAGGCACCCTCAGCACGGGAGAATTCAAATCAGAGTTTAGGACTCTAAAACACTCCGAAATCACCACCTTCTTGTTCTTAACTGAAGGATTCTCCCTGGAATCTCTCGTGCACATTCCTGCCCTGTAATCATCTGTCATGCATTTTAATAGCCTGCTAAAAAATCCTTTTGAGCAGGGTATATAATTCTGCTCCACTCACGTGCACAACCTACAGGAACTGGGGAGGAAGAGGAGAACAGGGAGAGAGAAATGAGAAATCCAGGATCTCATTGAGCTGTCCAAACTGTTATAACCTCCTTTAAGCAAAGCCTTGAACCGATAAACTTAGTTGTCCCTGCCCCAAGCGGGAATGAGTACACTGGAAAAACGACACATTCTTAACTTTGTCTAGAACAACAACAAATGTAAGAAAACAGGTTTTTAAACACAAAACTTTATTTCAAGCTCCTAACCTGTGTGGGATCCTGAAAAGAAAGGCTATCTACTGTAATGAAATTAAGATCACATATACCTGGGCTTTTATTATCTACGAAGACTAACCAAGCTTACATAACTTCGGTAACTACACCATGCCAAGAATTTTATTTTGAGCATTTAGTAAGGACCAGCTGGGATACACGTAAATGAATGACAAAATATACTTATCAGACAAAACGAACATTAGAACAACGTTTATTTAATCACTGCTTAGGAAACAACGCTCTTGCAATGCTTGATGCGTATTCCTATCCTATAGATCTGCGCAGCTGTGGAGTCCATAAGCAAGCACATCAGTCCCGCTCAAAAAAACCTTCGTACTTCTGAAAACTCGCACCAACTACACATACTTTTCAGAAGCACAGAATTTGAGCCACGGTGATTCAGATTTATTCAGTAATAAGTATCCCTTATGAAAACTGTACACTTTGCCAGAACGTACTCCTTCACTTGCCTATTTTTGGGGGTTTTTTTACACCTACCCTCAAGAGAGATTAGGCAGGCCAGCTTACACTGCTGAAAAGTTACATTTGAGCAGCTACCATCTCCCCACCCCTCATCTCCATTCCTGGCTCCAGGGTCCATTCCCTCCCCGTATATGCTTGAACTGGTGCCTGCACAAACAGGTAGTAAACCAGTTCAGCAAGCTGACCTTGACAAAAACTGATCACGTTTTTTTGAGAACTTAACTTGGGGTGAGCTCATCTCCTGGGTAGAGAAAAAAGGGTAGAAATAAAAGACTAAGTAAGGCCAGTCCAACACAAACTTCTAGTTAGGTAAGCTGCTGCGCAATCACAGAGACAGCTCCTTAGAAAAGTGAACCATCTTTCAAAAATATTTGCGAAATTGGCTCTGAACAGATTTAAGTTTAAGCCACGACAATACTTAGCAATACCGTCACGTTCCCTGCGCCACAATTCAAAATATTAGGGTAGTGAGCGAACGGCAATTATTAAACTTTACTCTTAACTTCTGAAGCACTACGCGCCTACAGCCAGTTACCAGAAAGAGGGCTTTACTCCAACACACGCAATCTGCATCTCTTTGCAGACCGTAAACCCCATCAAATCATTCCGCTGGCGTCCCGGTCAAGCGGCGGTGTCAGCGGGCAGGACGATCGGCGCCCGATCCCCGGCCAAGCCGCCCCGGCAACCCCGGCCAGCGGGGACGGCCCCCCCCCCCCCCCGCCAGCCAACCCGCCCCTCGGTTCCCCAGC